GCTGCACATCTGATGAAGTAGCCTTGATGCTACAATAAAATATATGTTATTATATTAAATAAAATGTTTATAAAAATATACTATTCCTATAAAGTGACATGCAGCACTTTGCCATTTTTGCTACAAGAGCAGCACTCATCTTTTGAAACATGTCTCTATGGACTCAGGATTGAGACATGAACTTGGATTAATCAGATGCTTTCAATCTTGTAAACCACTCCTAGATTTTTGGTATATAAATTTTTTTAAGTAAAATAATTAAATCTTTAACCTACCTCAGTGGATAATTATGTGAGTAAATGGGATGTAGGGGAGAGAAAAACATATATATTGTCCTGAATTCCCAGGAAAAATGGAGAAATAAATAATAAATAAATAAATGAAGCAGAGCTTCGTGATAGGACACAGGGAGATAAGCGTAACTGACATCAATATCAGTTTTTGCTGGTGTAGGTTAACAACATACTTCCATCCACAGAAGCAAATGTGGCAATGATAAATTTAATGATGCAAACTTTTGAAACAATCAAAGCACACTGGACAAAAATCTGTGGTTATATTAATGAAAGAGATGGCAGAATGGTGAAGAGGACAGAGGATTCACACAAGAGAGATGGGTTGACATACAGCAGACTGTTCCCACTTCCATTTCCTGCTTTCCAAATATGACAGGAGAGCAACAGGTTCCGCAGAAACCACATTGCTAGAAAAACACAGGCCACGGGCCACATGAAACTGATGTTGCCTCTGCCTGATCTAAAATTCTTTGAGGGTGATTTCCTCTGGGCAACCGGTGTCCTTCTCTGGCTTGAAGGAATCAATCTGCTCATTCCTCCTAACTATCCATCACCGGCTGGACTGCCTATGGGCTCCTTTTCTCACTTTTTCTTCCATTATGTAGGCTGAGTTAGGGAAATGGATTGCGGTGCTGCCTTCAAATAGTGGTGGCCAAGGAGCTGCACAAATGGGCAAGCAGGAGACAGCAGATGGAGGGGGAGGCAGAACAGGAAACTCATTTACCCAGAGTAAAAATAGGCTGGAAAATGTGACATTTATTAAGTACAATTGTGGAAGAAAGGTCATTGCCAGCCCCAGCACCAAGATGGGGTGCCGCTGATTATACAGCTGGGGAATGAGGCAGCAAAGCCAGGCTGAACAACAGCAGCTGGGGGGGGGGGGAGGGAAGGGCAGGGAGAGAAACAGAAATGTGTGCATTTGGGTGTTGCTACTGTTGTTGGTATTTTCTTTTTGGTGCTTCAAGCCTAAAATGCACCAGTAGTGCTTCTTGCTGTTCCACATGAGATACCTCAGTATCATTATCTGCCTACACCCTTCTCTGACCGATCAACCTTCTCAGTCTTCAAACCCCAATCAAGAGGCTGCTTAAGGAAATCCAAGCAAAGAGACTTACTGCATCACCATCACCATCAACTTCTTTTGAAATTCTGGAGAGCACAATCCTTTAACTGACGGCTTTCTTCTGTCAGAATTGCAGCCCTCCTTGCTTTTCAATTCATGTTCTCATCCAGCCCTTTGGACACCATGCAAACCTGTCTTTTGGAATTAAATAGCTCCAGCATATTCCTCACTTCCACTCCTGTTGTGGCTAGATGCCACATACCCCAGATACTGTTCTTTCTCCCCTCTCATGGAGAGTTGCCTTCAAATACCAAGGTCAAAGAAACAGGATGTGAAGGGGAAAGTGGCTATCTACCTCACAATCTCTTCCAGGGAGGGAGGGAAGACCAGCGGCATGAAATCTAAAAAGAAAACAATTGCCCTTGCCAAAGAACCTTTGACATTGACTCCATTTTTTAAGAAATACATTAGCTTCCCCTCCAAGTGCTGGAAGTGGAATCCCTGCAGAGCAGATGCCAGCTGGGTAATTGTCCTTTTGAGTGTGCACACTTGGTGTGGCTGAGCTTATTTCCTCCAGCATGTCTCCATAAAACTTCATTTGCACTTCCCCCTTTACCACTTCCTTTTGCTCTACCTTGTATCTGTGAGACGCTTTGTACTCCAGCATTCCACAGAGGAAAAATGGCCTGAAATGCAGTCTAGCCCCCAACGGGAAGCAGACTGCTTGTCCTGTAAATAAGTTGGTCATGGGGGGGAGGGGAATGCGTCTATGAGTAAGCTGAAATTGAGTTCCACTCATAATACAGATGCTTCCAGGGCAAGAAAGAAAGGTTAGGAAACATATACCTCATAACAAGCCAAAACAGCTGGCTGGAAAGTGTTCCAAACCGACACTGAAGGGGTTAATGGCTAAATCAAATGTTTGTCTTCCGATGCCTGTGATCCTTGCTACTGCAAAGGGACTGGGATAGGATGAGACCAAAGCAGAACACTTCCCTCGCCTAATGCATGCTGTCAGGGAATCTCCTATCCAGCAGAATACAAAGAACCAATTGATTTTCCCGGCACAGACCAAACAGCAGTTGGTGTGTGTGTCTCTGTGGGAGGAAGGACCCTGCTTAGCACTGTTTGAGGAGTCTAAGCCACTGAGTTCACGCACAGATGCATTCACAACATCACCAGGATAGAGGAGGTGCAGGGTAAGTGGTGAGGTCTCCCTTCCGTAGCCATTCATTCCCCGTACATCTAAGAGAGCAGGCGGCCAGTGTGGCTCAGGAGCGGGCAAAGCCCGCTAAGATTTACTACACAGGCTGGGCTTTACTGCACACAAGATGCTTACGCTGGGGAAATCTTCCCAGCGGCTCTTTAATTTGCCATCCCATAAAGAATGTGAATTTGTGACGCTAAATAGGGGGAGATCATTTACCAAGCACAGCTCTTACTTACAGGTTCTTTAAAGGGGATTCATCAGGAGAAGCAAAAACTGGTGCAGCAGTCAACTTAGCAGCAAAGTGGTCACAGCGAAGGTAAGTAGCAGATGCAGCAGATGCACTTTTTCCGAAGGGAAACTGGACCCATGCTAGCCTTTTCAGTGGTCTTTCTTTACCTTGCTACTAGGTACATACTCATCTTCCCTGTGCCTTACACCTATTTATTCATAGCCCCCACCCCACCCCCTCAGAATAACCAAGAGCAGAAAATAATATTACAGCTAGAATGGCCAAAAAAAGTAAAAGGAATCCCTTGTCCCCATTCTCTCCTACCAGTTCTACTAACTAAAGCTACTCATAAATGCCATTTCGTTGGCACAAGGATTCTATGGATGGGACATTTCTTTCCCTCAACAGCCCCCACAACATGCAGTGTCCCCAGAACTGCATAAGAGCAGACATTAGTTCCGAATCAGACATTTAAATCTCAGGGCCAAAGGACACCTTATTTAAGGAGAGTCATGACTAGATTTCCTAATAATAGTGTTGTTTGTTTGTTTCATTGATTGATGGTGTTTTAATGAAATGCAGCCTTAGGAACTGCCAATTTCTTTGGACCAGTGCTTGGGAAAGAAACGGAGACTTAATTCATTGCATCAAGGAAAGAAAAAAAGAATAAACTCCTTCCTGATCGACTGTTGGCCCCATAGAGGGAAAAATGCACCCCTGAGAATTTCCTTTGTGGGGCCAACAACAGCTGGATTGAGGGGCAGATCTAGACCAGGAAAACAGAACGAGAGGAGTGTTAAACACCCTCTGGGTCCTCCTCTCTCACTGCTGAAGAAACTGACAGACTCTGTGGTTGCATTTCAAGAATACCAACCATTTCAGGTAAATAATCAGGAGATCCAGATGCAAATGGGAAGCCTGAGGAATGGGGTGGTGGTGATCTGAGCGGGTTGCCAGACAGCTGAGCTTAATCTGACTAACATGCAGTGTGTGCAATTTCATCTCAGTATTCTGATGGTGGGGTGATGCATCTCCAGAGCAGACTTCATACTTAGTATTGCTGGTTGTTTCCCCACTCCAGCCAGGGGTTCTGACACAGCTTACATGGGGCTCATGCAACCAAGCACTTTAAACCATTGCTAACTCTGGGCCAAAGTTGCCATCTATCTTTGGCAGTCTCCTGCCTTGTATTTCTCTGCCCAATCCGACATGCACTTTCACAGCAAAGACTTGAGACCAGATGACAACAGCAGCAGGAGCCTAGAAGCTGATCTTTGACCCACCTAGCATGTGTACTTACTATGCATATGCGTGGGTCATTTTCTCCCCATCTCTCCATTTATATTTCTTCTTGTTCAGCATACTTCTCCTTTTAAACCACCCCTACCCCCCAACACACACACAGTGATCAGAAGGCGAAGCAGCCTCCCGTGTCCGCAGGAGAGAAGCAGCTCATTTCCAGAGTCATTATGGTCTGAAAAGGGTCCCATCAGGTATTCCGCCCGCTCAGCACATTTATTTCCCCAAACCACAGCGGGGATTTGTGATTTTTCAGACCCAATATCAAGCAAGCACGGGGCTGGCTCATTCCACCCAGTAGGAAGCTTTTCAGATAATGCAGTCAATACCATGCCAGAACGTGCCAAGAGAGAAGATGGCAGAGTGACTTGCCATACCACCTTAGCTGGAACAATGGCACTGCTACAATGGGCACTGGACTGGGAGCACAGCTTGACTGAAACTGGGAAAAGCACTTAAGCAGCAGATCACTGGAAAAATGCAGGAATCCCTAAGCGTATTCAGGACCCATCTGGGCACCTCATATCTTTAAATATCTGGGACTTTATGGCCTTCTCTCATAACTTACAGGATTATCAGCACTTGCTTTCTACCCCATTCCTCGTTCTCGGTGGCTATGTATACTCAAACAAAGTAAGAGTTATTCAGGATGTTCCTGTAACATTCAGACTGCTTCTGCCTATGTCATCCTTCTTTCCTTTCATATATTATTACCTTCTGCATATTTCATCCAGTGTCCCAAGTTCCCAGATGCTTGGGCAGGACTGGCACCCTATCCATTCTTCTTTTTCAGACTGATACTTAAGATGCAACCTCAGCCTTGACATAAACCTGGGTACTGGTAAGATATTAATTCCAAAAAAAGCACAAGGAGGACACAGGGAAGGCAGAACAGATACTCACTACTGTGAAGTTTTCTGCAGAGCAATTCTCACCACTAAAGCTGCAGTTCTTCAGCATGTCATCAAGTTGGTGCCCAGTGCGGTTGACAATGTCAGCCATGTCTGGGTCAGGATAGAGCAGGTCAGAGGCCTTGTGTCCATCACGGTCCTTGGGTGGCAATCCAGTCATGTTGGCTAGGTGAAAAATATCGGCGTCTGTAAGTGCCGAATGACGGAAACGGTTGATGTTGCAAATGGTGACGGCTGGGAAGACCATCTTTTGGGTAGCCTCCTCATCCAGGGTGGTGACATGTGGATGCTCCAGGTAGAAGAGTGCTGACCGAGCTGCCTGATACAAGAAAAAGGCCAAAGAGGCCACAAATGCAAGTGCCCAGAGGACCTGTCGGACCCCCAGTTGCCCTGAGCGGCAAATATGGGCCAGGCCGTGCAGGGTGCTGGTGCCAGCGAAGGCGGCCAGGTCACGATGGTGTGGCCGGCTAGTCTCCTCTAGCAAGCTCTCCTTGTCCCCTTCCTCTTTCGCCGCCTGCTTCTCATCCTCCTCTGCAAATTTGATTTTGCAGACAATCTCAATCGGCATCTGTGCCGAGGCACCAGGCAGCACGCTACCCCCCCAGTGAGGGGAGGCAGTGGAAGCCTGAGGTGCCCCGCACCGGCCGCTTACCCCTGGCTGCTGCAGGACGCCCCTAAATTAGTAAACCCGACCAGGGAGGAGGAGGAGGAGAAGGGCTGGGGAATCTGGCCCCAGTCTCTCAGAAGCTTCTGAACGCAGCTTTCCTCTTGTCTCACTAGTGATCTTCTGGTGCTTCCGTTTGCTTATCTGCACAAGCCCAGCTGTCAGAGCTGGCCGCCGCTCCCTGTGCCGCTGTGTGTGCCGCTCCTCTGCACGCCCGGTTAAGACCCCACCAGATACAGGCAGCATTTAGGCATCATGTGCTAATAAAATCCAGGGGATACTTAATAATTCAAGGCATGTCAACATTATTTCATCCTCAATTTTTTTTTTTTTTTAAAAAAGCAGGGTGTAATGGGGAGAGCTAGTGGAAGATAGTGAGCAGTAATGGGAAAGCCAGAGCTTGGTTTGCCAGAGCCACCACTCCAAAGTGGTACTAGAGCCACTTGTTTGAATCACTCGTAAGCTGGCAAAAAGTCTGTGCCAAGGAAAGGAGCAAAGGAGCCAGAGATCGAGGGTGCTGCTGCTGCTGCTGCGGGAGCTCCTCAGACAGACTCCCTGGCTCTCATTCCGTGCCCGACACCCACTTCCTCCGGGGAGTCCCTTCAGGTGCCCAAAGCAGCTGCCCGGCTAATTCCTCCTACCTTCCATCTCCGCGGACCTTCCGACGCCTCCTTGCCAACGCCGAGGAAGAAGAGAGGAAAAGTTGAGAGGGACGGAGAGGGGCAGGAATGAGCTCCTCGCGTGTCGTCGGTTGGTACCGGGTCCAATGGACAGCGGCGGCACATACGACACCCCCACCCCCACCCCACCCGCAGGCTCGAGAACTGTCTTAATTGGAGAAGGAGCGGCGGAAGAAGGAGAGCGGAAGCGAGGAGGAGACGCCCCCTCCTCCTATTGATCCCGCTCCCCACGGAACAAACAAGAGGCAAAAAGTGAAAGGCTTATTGATCGGTGGGAGGGAGCGCAGCTGCCGGGGATTAAGGGCGCGCGCGAGCGGGCGGGCGTGTGAGGAGAAGGCGGCGGGCGCTTTCCGAGGAGAATGAATGCCGCGCAGCCGGGACCACAGCACTGCCCAGAGCCAGGCTGCAGCACAACCTCCTTCCCCTCATCATCGATTCCCTTTCCTCCCTTTGCTTCGGAGGCACTTTAATTGCTTTTCCAAACGGATTTGAGTTCCTCCCTCCCGGCCTGCCTGCCAAGTGAAATCCAGGCTGGGGAAATCCCCCAGCAGTTGCAGTTGGCGCGGGACCAGAGCTCTCGGGGCGTTCCGGCCCGCGTGATGCACAGAGGACGCCTGTGGGGCGGGGTGGGAGAGCCGGGCAGTGCAGAAGCGGAGGAGGGCGCCGGCAGGAAATGCAGACTCGCCAACTGCGCCGGCAGGTGTTGTGTGGAGGCGAGCGGGAGGGCGCAGGCAGGGCTATCCCGGCTGGCCCAAAGTTCTGGGAGAGGCGACGCCCGCTTTGCTCCAAAGGCAGTCGGGCCAGGCCGCAAAGCGATCGTCGGACTCGACTTTGCGATAGAGCTTCTTCAGAGCCCAGGAGCCCGCGAGCCGAACCCAGAGCGCTCCGCTTGGCCAGCCGCTCCCAGGCCGCGGTCTTGGGGCGCTCCGTCACAGAGATTCCAGGCTTGGCTACTGAAGGTTTCGGCGCGCAAGGCCGTTGACGGGTGCTCCCTTCTGGGGAGAAGTACTCCGACCGACCGACCGAACCTCCGTTTGGGGCATCGGCGGGGTTTTCGCCGGCACATGTTGAGAAACCGACGCTACGGCAGGAAATATCCCGCCGCCGCCGCTCCCACGATCACAGTCCGAAATCCCTTCTCCCTCGGTGGTTTTGCCTGTCACCGCGAGCTTCCCTAGGCGGCAAGGCCCGATGCCAACCCCAGATACGGCCGAGGAGCTCGTTCGCCCGTCCTCCAGCCCTGAAATCGCCTTGCAAAGAAAGGATACATACGTCTCTGCGGATCCAGATGGAAGGAGAAGTCCCTTCTGGACAGGAAGCGCTAACCGATGCCCAGGGCGGAATGCCAAGGTGGCCGTGTCCCAGCGGGAAAGGGGTGGAGGTGGAAGTGACAGAAAATTAGGAGAAGGCCATGGGAGTTTCTCAAATGAGGCGGAGTGGAGTATGGAAGCCAAAAATCAGGAAGGGGATCCGGCCATTTCAGTGCCAGCTTCAGAAGGCACCATGCCTGCTTCGTCTGGCCATAGTGCACAGTGCAAAAGTTGTACACTGAAATACTGGTAGTGGCAGACCAAGGGGTTGTGGTTGAAATCACTTCAAGATCTTTTTAAAACCGTACACCATCTTTCCAGGTCTTTTGAGACACAAATATTCTCAGCCTCACTCTTAGGTGTCAGCTGTTTTTGACTCCAGATTATCATAGTCTAGCATAATAAAAATCTGTTGCCTTTTAATTTCTGAATGCTTGCTACTGACCTAAAATCTTAGCTTAATCTAAGTTATATATTACTTTTGCACCTAACAGGCTGACCTTGGTATTTACATTAGGAGTGCCAATGTATTAATGGCTGGCAAAGTGCACTCTTTTCCCCTGTTCTTTTTGGTGGCTGGTGGCTCCAGTGGTGGATAATCAGGCAAGTAGGCAAGTAATTTTTTTCCCTTTAAAATATATTTACAACTTAGATACACTAAATTCACTGAAAATTTGATCATTTTATTTCTTTGGATTTTCACTGCAAATCAGCTGGCAATTGCTTCCTAATGTTCATCAATTTGCCAAGTTTGAGAATGGCAAAAGTATTTGAAGCTTGACTACAACTGATTACAACACCAATATCCATCACCACAATTCCACTGAACTTTAATACTCCAACCATATTAAGCCAATTAAATTATATTCTCAGGGCTTCCTTCAATCTCACATCAATCTTTTTGAGCTATCAGTTGACAGTTCCGAACATCTCACTGAGTTAGGAGAGTCATAAAAGGCCATTTCCATTTCCATCATCTCTTTCTCTCTTTTAAGACTTCCCACTATCTTTTCAAACAAAATATCCTTAAGCTACAATTAAGACACTAAGCAAAGTAATATACACAAAGACAATGCAAGGAATTTGGGGGCTGAGAAACAGTTTGGAAAAGATTCCTTATTTCTGCCAGTAGCTTCAGAACTGCATTAAGACTGAACAGATGCTGCTACAGGACCAAAAATCACTTCACAAATTCTGCACAAACCAGAAAGAAGACACTTTATGGAAAACTGAAGTTGACATTTGCTCCTTCATGAGCATATCTGTATAATATACCTGTTATATTTATGAGGCTACAATACTTAAAATCGGGCATAAACATTTAAGATACAGATGAAATAACCCCGGATTTGTTAGCAAAAAGATGAATTCTCCAGAGAATGGCAACAGAGGCCTCTTCAGTAACAAAAGCATTACGGTATCTGCTTGAAAGCCATAAATGTGCCCCATCTGCCATCAACTTGATTTACTTTTTTCCAGAATTTCCAGACAGGCTTGTTCAACCTAGTGCTTCCAGAAGTATTGGGATTACAATACTCAGAATCTCCAGCCATGAAGGATTGGAATTCTGGAGTTGTTGTTCCAGCACATCAGGAGGTACAAGCTGAAGAAGCTTGGGGTAAAAGAGTTAGTGACACACTAGGGAAGAAAACAGCTGGTGAGAAGACTTGTTAGTAGTCAAAGATATAAATTTAATCTATGTAGCTTTTAAACCTGGCTACAATCATTGTGTTCCCCTTTGCCTCTGAAAGATCCCTTATGCTGACTCAGGGAAACTTCCCTCCTTCTTCAAGGCACTGGCCAGGGCAGCACTAGTGAGAGCCAGCAGGGAGCTTTCTAAGCTGTGGCTCTGGGCACTGTGCCATCTTGGATCTGGCACCACCTCCACTTTCTAGGTCCTTTATCCCAATTCAGACCCTGCCTACCGCATGCCCGGCTGCATGTTTAGAGAAAATAAAATTTGGGCTCTTGTTAATTTTAATCTACTTGAAGAGACTGTAAAGCCCAGCTGGTTTAAACATGAGTCTTATGTCAAGCAGAATACCTTGAACTTGTGGGGGGCTGGTGCCCTTCCTATGGTGCTTGTTATAGCAGCCAGGGCAGGCTTACAAGGAGGGAGACAAGCGCATACTGCCTTTGGGAGATCTGGGATGACAAGATGTCCAGTCCAATTACACATGTGCCATCAAAAGATCTGGGGCAGCCTCATGGCTGGTTCCTCTGCAGTCTGTTCAGCTTCTTCAGCATAGGATAAGAAGAAGCAACATCTGGCATTTGGATGGCTGGAAGCAGAAAGGACAGTGAAGAAAGAACGTGGGATGTAGCCACATCTTACACCGGCAGCAATAGTGAGGCAATGGGACATCTATACACTCATATCTGTATCACAGCTATCTTACTAGAGCAAGAGTCTTGAGCTACAATACACAATCAAATTCCAGAATGCAAATAAGTAACCCCAAGGCCCAGGTAGGTGAGTGTTCTTATTGTGATGTGCAATGCAAACCTTAATGCATAAGGACATTCTCTTTCTTACTGTATATACATACCACACAATATATGATATAAATGTATATATGCAGATTTATGTTTGATACACGAGTCTCCTTTTGTTGTCTGGACATTATTTATGCCTGAGCTAATATGATCTGGAGGGGATGAAGCTGTGTGCTCTATATAAGTAAGCTGTTGGAATGCTTCTCTTGGTCCTTTGTGCCAAGGTAATTTGGTTGTTTTTCAACCAGATATATGGGTTGTGTTGTTATATTCCTCTGAATGATGTACATGCTGGCGTTCGCATATCTCCCATTGCCACTGCACAAGGAAAATATTTAAAATATTTCAAGCATAAACCATCTGAAAAAAAAATTCCTCATTACATAAATTTCTTCAACTATGGATTAAACACCAACCAATCAGCAACACATTGGTTTTATGCAAGCTTCTACCTATGCCTGGAGAAATGTTCTCCATGGGGTCGCGATGGGTCAGACACAACTTCGCAACTAACAACAACAACAACCCTATGCATTCTCACACTTTTGCCTAAACAATTCCAGCTATGGAGTGTAAGAATGAAATAGAATATTTTTTTGTCACAGGTAATTGCCTCTTGCATAGGAGAAAGGTAGTTTCTCCCTTCTAATTGCAAATGAGAATGGTGAAGTCATTGCACCATAGGATCAACCTTGTCTTAAGAAACATATTTGGTCCAAAAGTGAACATATTTGCATGTACTGGCTGTGGCTCTTAAGAGATGCTGTACAGTTACAACACACATGACCATCAGTGTTCATGAATCATAAATGGGATGAAGGGACTAAAAGAATTCCCCAACAGAGCCGAAAAAGCACTTGGGGGGACTGATGGCACTTAATTTTTATTAACTAGAAAGGGTTAAGCCCTTGCCTCCCTCCAAATTTGGAAAGTTTTTCAATGTTCTATTCATAAAAATACTGCCCAAGCACATATGAGATGCTCCTGGAAAACAGCCTAGAAGTAAATAAAATAGAATGCACCTCTGGAATATTTGCAAAACCAAATGGGCATTGGAGCCATTATGTTGGGGTGACTAAGATCCCAGTGACTTGGTTGCTCTTGGCATTCCTGAAAAAAAAAAGATTAAAGGGAGTAAAATAATTGGTTTCATTATTTTGGAAGTGATAATTCGTATCACATATTAAAACCAAATTTTCAAGTTTTATTTACAGTAAGTAAAGCTATCTCACAGTGTTTTTTTTAGTTTGCAGTTTTTATTTTAATGCCCTCTTAAAAAATATGGATGCTTTCAAA